AGGGAAAGAAGTGTCATCTGTCTTGCATCTTGTGATAGCTATGGGATAGCTGGAAACCATCCTTGTTAGTTACATCCCAGTACTCATTCTGGCCCTGTAAAAAAAAAAGGACAGTGGGACTTTTTTGATCTAAAAATATACTTCAAATATTTATCAAGTCAGTTGTGTGGGAGACAACTCTCCAGCATTCTGTAGGATGAATATGAAGGTGGTGCACTGACGTGTTTAAAGCCATTTGGAAGTGTCGCATTGCTGCTTCATGCTCAGTGTGCAGAGATTTTCTTAAGTTTTATATAATGTGTTGTCAAGTCTATGTCTAGTGCTATAGTTGGAGTTTATATATGAACGTTTCTAAAATCTTTGGCATATGACACATGAAACTTATTGATTGTAGTTCTTGGGGCAGAATACTAAGATACGATAGTGCTATTAATCGTGGAGTCTAATGTACTTCAAAATATTACATCCAGCTCTTGCCCCAGTGAGGTTGGTGCGAGACCTCTGGGCAGCTGCATGAGTTCCAGTGAGATAAATGTATTCGCGGAGATACAGGTGCAGCTTTCTTAAAGCTTCCCTCCAAGCCCAATAAACGGAGCAGCTTGAATTCTGTGCTCTGCAGACAAGGATTTCTTACTTCAGACTTCAGCAGTTTCCAAGTGCCTTGTGTTCTGCTTGAAGGTCTGCTACAGGAAACTGTCATTCCATATGTCATTCCATACTTAGGCTTCTGTGTGAGGGCAGTGAGGTACTTCATAAATGGAGCTCTGTTCTGCTTTTTCTGAAGTGAATACAGTGGGCCTGGAATGAGCATTCTGCTGTTTACAATCACAAGAAACTGGAGAGTGGTCTATGTGTGGAAGCAGCAAAGGAAATTGTTAGAAGTAGTAGCAGCTGTGAGGTGCATTCTCCAGAGGAAAGATGTGTGTATACAGTCCCATGTTGCAGTGTAGCTGTAACAGAAAGCACAAAGCTGTATTTCTGAGACTGTTTTAGCTCATTCCTTCTTTTATTCTTTTTGAAGGTTGTCTTGCAACTGAAGTGAGGATATTCAACCATCTGACAGCATCTGTCAGTGCTGACTCCACAAGTGACTTGAAAAAATAATAGAAACACTTTCTACAAAGCCAAAAGCTATTGATGCAATAAAATACTAAACTGAGCAGGTAGTATTGGCTTGTGACTAAATAAACCATTACTCATTTGAAAATAGAAACATCTTAGATCTGCTAGACTCAAATTATCTAAGTCCAATATACAGTTGCTATCAGTACTGAAAATATATATAACTAGAATGATGTAGCTATTGTTATGGTGTACATTTGCATATATGATTTTTGTTAAATTTCGGGGGCGAGTGCACATGTTCCTAGAAGACATAAGGTTCCTCACTTATGTAATGCATTAGCCTTTCAAAAGGTGCAATGATAATGAAGAACATGACGGCAGAACTGTGGCATTAATGTGTACATATGTATTTGTAAGTAATAAACATTTTTTATGTGTCTGAATAACTGTAATAATTTAGTATTCATTAACCCCAGAGCTTTGTTAAATGCTAAAGTTGTCTTAAAATAAAAAATAAAAAGAGGATGGAGTCAGTACTCAGTCAGTACAGTTTTTTATGTGTCTGAATAACTGTAATAATTTAGTATTCATTAACCCCAGAGCTTTGTTAAATGCTAAAGTTGTCTTAAAATAAAAAATAAAAAGAGGATGGAGTCAGTACTCAGTCAGTACAGGTGAGTAAGGGTTAGGGGTTAACTCAGGAATTTCTAAAGGACCCCATGTTCTCTTATCAAAAGGATATTCCCAGCCTATTCAGTAAGGCACATACCTGGTAGATCCGTGTCTAAATCTTGCTGAAACCGGAGTAGTATTTTCTTGCAGTAAAAAACTAGAATCTCTCCACTGGAGAAGTCTGCACCAGAAATTTAATGCCTTCTACTGTTTGTAAAACCATTTTTCCATATCTGAGGAGCAGTTTATTTGTAATGGCTTGTACAAATGATCCTGTACACTACTACACACCTGTATACTTACATTTTGTAAAAGAAGGCAAAGTTGTGGTAACTTAACCCTCTTGGTCTTGCAAACTTTTTCTTGGAATTCTTCCACTTTTTTGCTGTACTGTATGTTCTAGTAGGGGTAAGTGTGAAGTCACGGGATTGTATATGGAAGAGAAAGTGAAGAGACTTGGCAGGTTTTTTAAAAAGGTTGTGTGTGTGGATCAGTGTTCTCAAATTCAAGCTAAAACATTCAGGCTGGAATTAATGTTTGCTTAACTTAAAAAAAACTGGAAGAGGTTGCTGCAGTTGTCCTATGGTCTGTGCAGAAGTACTCTGCTTTTTAATTGTGAGTTTAATGAATAAATCAGTCAGATTTGATTACTTTATTAGGCAGGTTTATTTGTCTTGCCTCCACTTCTCCTTTCCCTGTAAGTCTAGTTGCTTTGTAGAAGAATGAATGTACTATATTCCTTTGAAAGGACCCTGTATGTTTAAATGCTTCATCAACTGACTGATGAATATTAAAAATTCTCTGCTTTAGCTATCTTTATGCTGAGAATATGTTGCTAGAAGGCTTCCGTAGAGAAAGGAAGCTTAAGTTTTTGGTAAGTGGTAACAATTTTTTAGACATACTATGAATGTATTAAAATTACCAATGCTTAGGAAGTCTGTACTTCAAAGAATATAAAAAAATGGATGTGCTGAACAGATTTAGGAATATGCTGCTGAGGACAACTCTTAACGTTGGCATTATTTAGTTTTCAAAGACTATTATTCAAAAACACAGTAGACTAATTCTTCAGAAAATAGTTTTGTTTTCTCAACAATGAAAGGCCACAACTAAGAACTTTTGTTTTTACATTCAAAATTTGCCATATATCTACCTTCTAAAAAAGTCCTTGAAAATGCAAGTACTTGTGAAAATGTTGCAGTTTGAAAACCGTAGTGGTGGGGGGGGAGGGGGGAAGGAGATATCAAATCAGTATCGGATTCACAAAAAGTCTGAGGACGGTAGGTCCGATCGCCTTCCTGGGAGCGAATCGACTTCCCAAATAGTGTAATCAACTATAAGCTCAACTCTGGCAGTATCGGATTCACGAACAGTCTGTGGACCGTAGGTCCGATCGCCTCCCCACAAACAAGTAGTCGAGTTCACAAACAGTAGGATTTATTCAAATGCAACATTTACAAAGCAGGTTTCGGATGTCAGTCCAGGAAATTCTCTACTAGAGCGTGGGGTTTTAGCTAG